AGTACCCCCAGGATTTTTCGAGATTTTTGTCAGTTGACCTCTCAGTACCCCCTAGACCAACAAAACTTGCTTAACCCTGGTATAAATATTACGTATATACTGTTTATAACTTATATATATACTGTATAACGAGTGTCTTATGAAATACAATGTTTGATGCGATATAATATAAGTTTTTGTTTAATTTTAATTAATTTAAAAGAGAAGTCTATTAATTGTTGCAACACTTGTAAAAATCACTTGTTTTAAGTGAAGCCATAAAGACATATATAAGACATGCTATCGACTAATTATAAACTTCAATATCATTAACTATTGCCTACTCCGAGAGCTCATTCATGTATTGTTGCAATCATTCACGCAAAACATATTTATTTCCTATTTTGAAAGTTTCTTTAAATTTATTATTTTAAATAAAATTATTAATTTGTTGTTGTCTTATACATTAATTATGCAACAAAAATAAAATAAACTTAAAATTAATATTAATTTCAATTATTAATTTTTGATCATTTGCAGAAATATAATTTTTCATTTAATATATTATATTATATTATTATTTTTTAGCAATTTATAATACTGTATTCTATAAATGTTTCTGTAATATTAATTATATTGTTTTAATAATAAAAACTGTGTGTTTTCCTATATGAAAAAAAATAATTATTGAATATACAGTAATTTATTTGATTTGTTATTTTATTAGAATAATTAAATATTTTTATTTAATAAATTTTAATTATCCTTATAATTTCAACAATATTAAACATAATATACATATTCTTGATCATTATAAACATTAATATTAAAAATTGCTTATAAATAACAATAAACTTGTATCAATATATCATTAAATTTCAGTATATTTTTATAAGAATTAATAAATCAAATTTAATAAGCAATTCATTATATTAATAAATAATAAACTATTTATTATAATTAATAATTTAGCCAATTGTTAATAATCAAAAAATAATTTCCAGATTTATGATTAATGATTATTGTAATATAATTACAAATGACATTAAGTGTTAATCTATTCAATTCAATTGAAAAATAGATTATTATTAATATTAATATAATTGATAGATTTTTTGTTTAATTTAATTACTTTAAAAATTAGACAATTTCTAAATATGTTTGGGCCATAAAAACGTAGTTTACATTTTAAAATAAATGAAATAAAATATATTTGATAACATTGTACACATAAGATGAATGTAATCAAAATTATTGATTTTTATATTTAATGCCAAATCTCATAGTGATTATCAAAAAATATAGTTAAAGTCAAATCATTAATTGTTATTTCGTATAATAATTATTGCTAACAAATGCTATAGTTATAATATTGATTTATTTATAAAAATATTGACATTATTTATAATAAACTTTTTCAAAGATAGTTTAACCATATTATGTTTATTTTAATTATTAAAGCAGATTTTTAAAAATTTATGTGTATATTTCTAAATAATTTTATTTTAAAACATTGTCATATAATTTTTAGTTACAGAACTGATTTAATACTTATTTGGGCATCAAATGTATAAAAATAAAAATTTGCTTAAATAAATCAAAGTATTTTCTATTAATCAGTACTATATCTTCAAAATATAAAAATGAGTTACAATTTACATCAAAAAATAAAATTTTATAAATAAATATTTAAAATTAAAAATAATTATGAATTGATTAAACTCATTTATAATACTAATGGTGTGGCATTATATGATATAAATAAATTTATATATAACATACTGTATATATACTAACATTATGAGCATTAATACTGTATTGACAATTATTAGGAGAGATGAGTGTGAATCAGTCAAACATGAGATGTAATAAACAAATAGTGATGAAAATGAGTGGACATAACCAATGAATACCTATTAATATTTGCTATTATGTGTTGACTCTAATCTTATCGTTGATATGTTTGACTATTATTAATAATCAGAGGAAAGGCTGTGTCACTGATCCATTGAACAGATAAATACTACTAATATGTTATATAACTTTTGCTATAATTTCCCCAAACGCTCGTTAAATTGTTTGAAGTCAATGATAATTCATTGAAAATTAATTTCATTTTGCATATGAAATATACTCAATAAAAATACACTCAAATCTCAAACTTATATATATTTATAAATATATGATATATGTATTATACAGATACAGTGCAAGTTTAACATTTACAATACATATAAGTCATATTTTGAAAAACTCAAAAATATGTTAAGAAATACATATATAACTTGTATATAAATGTCAAACATATATATTGTGAGAGATATGATTGGGTTTAAAAATATTTGTGATTCAATTGAATGGCAATAAATCTATTTCTAACCACAATTGCAGTATTGAATATCGCATTCAATACAATCACTGTATGACAACACTATTGTAACAATAGTGGTGCAAAAAAGTGTAACTCCAATAACTACACAAAATTTACTACCAAAACAACCAGTGCTATAGATATGGATGTCCAATACTATGCATACTATACATAAATTTAAAGTCAATACATAGAGTAGTTAAAGTTTTTTAATACAATTTGGTGGCAAAACAAGTTGAAAGTCATATTTCCCACATTTTTTATCAGCAATTGTGAGCCTAAAGAAGTGTCTAAACTCTCGACACTTAACTAACATTTTTGACTGTTTTTTCAGTGACTGAGAAAAAGCGTCGTTTAGTAGTAAATCATTTGAACACAACTATTGTCAATATCTTTATGCCTTACCTTTAAATAGGAAATATAGTGTATATACTATGCATTACTACTGTTGTATTATTTGAATGTATGGCATAACAGCCACTGTGCTTCTGGTCCATCATATAAGGGTATGGACTATAGCAGAGTTATAGACTATAGTAGAATATATAGATAGCTTATGTATGTTATGAAAAAGCTTTCGTTTGAGATATGAGTGCTCCATATCTATGGCATGTCTGTCACTGTTTCTTATGGCCATAAAATATGATTGTGAGCGGGACTGTCACACACTATGATGACTAATTTGAAATATGTCCCAAAATGGTGAGCATATATACCATGCATTCCTCCCCTCTGTCAGTGTCGACCCCCTCTCCCCCACTATAAAGCTTATGGTTATAATGGTATTGAAGTAATGCTTTAGTGTTTCCCCTTTCCATATATCAGTTGCCAGTTTGACATAAACGATGGCATTTCATCAATCACTCACTACTATACAACATAAGCACTAATATTATGCTTGCAATCGATGCACATCTGCCACATCTCTGGCCTATTTTGATGCCATATATACACTACTCATAGAAAACATAATATATTATTATATACAATATATGACTGTATTTTACTTTATTTTCTGACATAAAGAGCTACGCCTCCAAAGCTATTATCATTCATTAAGTTTGAGATTAACTCAAAAACAAATTAACACTTTTCTTATAAAATCATATAAAACATAAATAAAATATTTTTGTTTCAAATATCTAAAAAATGTTTTTTCTTTAATAAATTATTGCTAATTAAATATTTGTTAAAATGATAATGTTTAACAATGTTAGTCCAAAATTGTTTAATTATTACTACAGTATTTTTTATTAAACACATATGTTTATACACGTAATGTATATATGTTTTAATATTTAATAGTAATAATTATAATTAATTATTAGATGAGATGTACACAAAATATCTCAGTTTGAGATCTTATATAAAAGTAAACGTATGTAAAGACATAATACAAAATGAGACAAATGTCACGCTTGATATGTTTGTTGGGAATAACTGACTTACATTGAGTTCAGTTGTCAATAAAATTGAAAGACATCTGCAATGTTGTAGATAATGTCCCCAATTATAAGTTCACACAAACAACACATTCATTGACTACACTCTTCATCAACAAAAAATAGAGACGAATCAAACAGTCTGACTCTCTCTCATATATAATATATATATTTATATATATCTTTCGTTTGTGAATCTCTTAAATCGTTAAATAAGTTATCCCTCAATCAAAACTTATTTTGACAATTCTTTAATACATTTCAATCAAATAGATAAAAGCAAAGTTAAGTCAATCAAATAAAAATGCGATCAAATAAATAAACAAATTTTATTTTTAGTAATAAATTATAATTCAATTGATATTTACAGATGAATTAAATTGAAAAAACATTTTTTTCATAAAGTAATGATTGGCATCTATAGTATTAATACTTGTGATCATCACATTTCAAACACAAAATTCGCATTAATATTAAAAATTATTTTAATAATATTAATATTATTGTGATTTTTGGATTTATAATACTATATATATATATTTAAAGTGTTGAGTGATTTAAAACAATTATCAATTAGATTACAATTTTAATAAAATGCAAAAATTAAGTCATTTTTATATTATTATCTTAAGTTAAAACTATTTAATCTACATATTAATAATTTATTTGACAATTAAACATCGATGAGTTATTTTCATGAAATTTAAAATTGCAATTATTACCATTATTTTTACTGGAAAAATAAACAAATAATAAAAATTGCAATCTATTAAAACGTCCAATATATTCGTTTATATAATAGTAGTTATGATAATTGTATTATATTTTATAATAATATTTTCTTGTTATTTGTTAAAAATTAATGATATGATTGTGAGCTCTCATTAATTAATTTGCATTAGATTTTTGACTCTAAATGAGGTCTCAGCTAATGCATTGACAATACATTTTGAGAACAACCATTAAATTTGAAAAACAATTATATTTATATATACTGTATATGAGAATCATTAAAACAATTTTTCATTATTTTATACAATTATATAATAATAATAATAAAATTCTATTTATACAATAATATTTTTAATAATAATTTAATAATTTTTTAATATTTTAATAATATTTTATATATTTTAAAAAATAATATAATTAATATTCAATAATTAAGTATATAATAATTAATTGAAAATTAGTATTAAATAAAAATATTAGACATATTTACTGGACAACTGTTTAGCCAATTCAGTGTACTTCAAGAACTTGGAGTGTGTGCTCTCATTGGCACCAATATTGGTCTCACTTCTGGCTCCGCCACCACTGCTTCCGTGGCCTTCTTTACCTCCGGTGTTGGTATTGTTGTTATCATTGTTACTATTATTTGCTGTTGTATTGACCGATGTGTTGCATAAATCAAACGCTTTGCCGGCAGTCTTAAGATGTGTTTTACTGAAATGATGTCTAAACGCACCCTTTGAGGTAAAGGATGCCTCACAATAGGGACATTTAATGGGATGATCACTCTTGTGGTGCTTTTCATCTAATGGTGAACTCGAGTTGGATGTATTAGTCACTGAAGTACTGGCATCACTACATACCCAACTAAAAGCTAACAGTGATGGGGATAGACTGAGCCCAACACCGGTATTATTGTTATTGCTATTGATATTACTCGTGGCGTTTGCTTTATTTTTACCGGAATCAGTCTTATCGAGTAGTTTCTGGAGTTGCATCAGTGGATTGAATGATTCACATTCACTGCTTTTCTTCTTGAATTCACTTTTATTTCTTGGACTTACAAGAGATAATGGACTTGTTTTGCCATCCTTTTCAACAGAAGAGCGGTTAATCTTTTCTGGTTTAACCTCAATGTCTATCGTTGATAGAGAATGTCGTTTCTTACTTACTTCAAGACTTTTAGATGATTTGTAATCTTTTTCTTCGTCACTTAAATCACTAATTTTGTCTTCGGATTGTTTGGTTTCACTTTTGGTGCCATGAGTTGTGGATTGTGGTGTCGATGAGTTAGACTTAGGAGAATGCAAGGAATGTCTGTCGCTTTTAGGACTTAAATTTTTGGTCTTGTTTTCCAAATCTTCATTATTATTGGAAATAAGTGATGATATGGGAAATGAAAGCTTTGGTGAAGAGGTTTGTGCGGAACCGCTTGACTTCAAAGCAATTGTCGTGGCGTTTGTAAAACTATTACAACTATCGGAATCACAATTAGATGAGTCGGCACTACTCATGCCATTGTTTTCTTTGAGAAGCTCATGAGGTAATGGACTTGATATTGATTGGTGTCCACTACTTCTGCTACTGGTTTGACCATCACTGAAGAATTCATTGCAATTTCTATTCCAAGACATAGGAGGCATGTGTTGCCAGGGAGGACACACTTCTTCATCAATTCCCAGTCTCTGCAAAATACCAGTTGAATGTGTTTTACGTGTTTTTGGGTCAAAGCTCTTCTCAATTAGTTTTTCAATGGCATTGAGAACAGAACCAAAGCCAGAGACAGATTCATTAGCGTTGTTGCCATCAGTGGTTGTCTCAGACTCCCCTTTGACCTCAGATCCGGAGTGGGCTTTACTTTCATTTTCAAGAACTTCCGTCTTGATCTCAACCAGAGGGCTAACAGTTTGCCCACGACTGGGAGGACCAGATCGTGAGCCACTGGATGCGGGAGATCTCACTCTTTCTGGAGATTTGTTGTCTGACTTTAATGAACGCATTGCAAGCTTTACCTGTGCTTTGCATAACTTGATATGAGATATGAAATGTTTGGCCTCCACTTTCTCGTGACAGTCATCACATTGTATGAGCTGACCATTGACACCACCAGAAGCAGCACTGCTATCACTTTCTTCTTTATCATCTTTAGGTATCTCTCGTCTCTCTAACTCCAATAGCTTCCGGACGGGTAGCGATTTTTTCCTGCGTTCCCTCGTTTGCCGTCTCCTTCCGTGTCCTCCTTCGGTAATACTTCTAAGGATGTGTTCCTTATAGTGTGAGTTCTTCACCATATGATATGATAATTCTTTGAGCGAACCAAAAGCCTCATCACAGACCTTACAGGTAAGCACTGCATTCACCTGAGCCTGAGTTAGCTTATCCTCCGGTGTGCGCCAAGAGATGATCTGTTCTTGACTTATAATATTAGTATAGTGTTGAGTAACTCGCATATGGGTTGTCATGTCCGCCAGTGTCTTGAATGATTGCCCGCACCACATACCTATCGGTTTAAATCATTTCAATTACAGTCAAATTTATTACTTTTAGTTGTGTTTGTCTGACTATAGGACTGCCATAAACTAAGATTTAAACGACTTCTCAGTCAAACACATATTGGCTTTTTCTCATTAAATTAAATCTTATAAAACGTTAGAATAATATATGAAATTACATTTCTTTCTTTTATAGTAACAAAATACTAAACCAAAGCAATAATTTGTGAAAATAAAACATATTTCATATAAAAACTATTTAAAGCAAAGAATTTTTATATTAAAACTTTTTATTTAATGATATTTATGAAGGTTTTTAGCCATTAAAACACTATACTGACTGATTGGTGATGCCTAACCGCGCCATATAAATGGCATTTAATTTCATATATTTCTAGTTAAACATTATTATAACTAATTATTAACTTAAAATAATTTATGACTTATATTATTCAAATTCAAATATATATATATATATACAGTATAACTCAACTCCCTTTCAGTATACTGTATATATATATGCCTTTTCTAAAGCTTAACAATACTAAGTTAACAACAACAACAACAACACAACATTAAGAAAAAAGTTAAGCAAACTTTTAAAGCCTTGGGCTTAATATTCACATTAAAAGAAAAACGTTTTAAATAACCGATTTATTTTGCTTTAATCATATTTATTATTTGTCATATAATAATCAATCTTTTTTGTGCTCAAAAATAATCTATACATCTATGATATAAAAGCATATATTTAATACCAAAAATATAAACATATAGAAAATTTCCCCATAATTTTTCAAATGGTTAAACAATTATAATACAAAACTTGCATTTTAAATGCTATATCAAATGTTTTTAATTAATGTTGTGTTTAAGTGTTTGACATATAAAAGATGAGTTCTGATGCTTTAGTTTTTTGTATAAAAAGGTAATAATAATAAACTGGTATTTATTTATAATATAATTATTTATAATAAATTCAAGAAAAACTGAACGGAAAATCACGCTTTTGTAATACTAATGTTAACCCAATTTATAATTTTATAATTCATTCAAATTTTAAAGACAGCAAATATTTAGCTAATAATTTTTAGATAATCTATTTTTATCAAAATTTATTGTAATATAATGCAAATGTTAACTATGGTTAATATCATTAGTCAAATATTGAAAGTAAAGCACTGCACGAAATCAATGATTGCCTCAAAAGCTAAACTGTTGAATGAAAAACAAGTTATTTATAGGACTGATTGCACTTACATTTAAGTATTTGTCGGGTCTGTTCAGCTCCACGTCCTAACCAGACATCCTGTCCCCGAACCAATTTTCGGGGAAGTCCGACATTGTTTTTGGCCAAAACTGATGAACTAATGGGTTCTTTTGGCATTGAAGATGATGATGATTGGTGTGATGATTGTGAAGGTGTAGCTCCGGATGAACTGATATTAGCATTTTGTTGAGCACCGGTCGCGTGTTGCATACCAGCCATTCCACATCTCGGTGACCGTTTCATGTGGTCAGTCATTTCAGCCAAACTTCTAAACGACTCCTTACACCAAACGCATGTAAACACATCTCTGGTTTGTTCACTACTTCTGTTAATCCATTGTGTTTGCCATGGATTTTGTCGCCCGGCATGACTTCCACTCGATATTCTTGTTGGTGTTGATGACGATGGAGATGAAGATGGAGATGACATCTTTGTAGACAAAATGTTATTTTTAAGTTTACCGTTCCAGACATGACTGTTGTCTTTATGTGATTGTTTAGGTGGTGTTAAAACCCGGGGAACTGAATAACCCCAAGGACTCGATGACGAGTCAAAGCGTGCAATCTTTGATGAAATGTTTGATTTGGAAGAAAGAGTCGGAGATAATAGTCTTTTACCGACTGACAGATCAAGAGGACCATCGGATCGGTTAATGAGTTCATTACTTTTTTTATCTTTGGTAGACAGACCTTGCGGTCCATTTAACAGTGCTTTGGATGACCTGTTGTTGGCTTTAATGCTAAAGTCTAGTGGAGTAGAGATATCGTTGGCTTCCATAGAGAGCATCGCCTTTGAAGACGATTTACCAATTAGTTTAATATCACTTTCACTACGAGTCGACTGTAAGCTCAGGTGAGTTTTGGAAGTATTGTTATGCTTTGTATTAATTTGTGGTGAAATGAGAGCACTGGTAGTCAAACTCTTATGTCTGAATCCCGATTCATTAATATTTTTTTGCGCATCTCTTATATCTTCATGAGAGGCGTTATTATCATTATTATTGATATTATTATTATTTTTATTATTTGACTCTTTGTTTGAAACAACATTTGCTTCAACACCATTGTCCTCAACATCAGAAGCATCACCACTTGAGTCCAGTGGTGCCGAAGTCGCACATTCATCAGTTGTATTATTGATATGGCTATTGTCATCTTCACTCAGTTGTTTGACTTGACAGTCTGGATCAGCATCTGCTCCTTGAGTGGCATCCGTGCCCTCAGTACCATCAGCTCCTTCAGCACCAACAACACCATCAACAGCACTGTCTGTACCATCAGTGCCTCCACTTTGTTCCCCTGCAATACATAATAAAAACCTTTATTTTAAGTTTATTTTAAGTGTATGTGAGGGGCAAAGGAGTGCAATGCTTAGCATATAATTATCATTAAAGAAGTGATTTATTAAATATTGCATTCACTCATAATATATTAAATGAAATTAATGAATAATATAATAGAGAAGTGAATATTATATAAGGCTTTATAATAATAATACAAAACTATAACTAAGTTTATAATAGAGACTAGTTTTAAGTCGTTTTCTTCATTAGCTGTTAAGGCATATAATACTAAATATTGAATACTAAATAATTTAATGCTTGTGTTTATGGTTTACCAGTTTTCACAGCAACTAATAGACACCACAAACTATATTATATAACTTGTAGGTGGCTTTGACTTACACTAACCACTGCTTTTCAGTGCTTTACAGTACCTAACAGTGCTCTCATAGCTCATTCATAAGCAAAACCGTCTTTACAATCAAATTCGCAATTTTTATGCCTTATTGTGTCTGTTTAAAGCAATGCCGACTTATAATACAGTCATTTATATACAAATCATAATTGGGTTCATTCACTTCATTGCCGAAAATGTCTGCTTTTATCTAAACTATCCATAACTCATCACTACATCTCTACATCTTTTCTTAATCTTATCACTCACTCACTCACTCACTCACTCACTCACTCACTCACTCACACACACACACACATCATATATTGATGACATTTGTCAATCACTTTACATTTTTTGTAATAAAATCAAATGTCAACTAAAATAGTGAGATAAAAAAATTGTCACATAATGCAAGTATTTTAGTACAAATTGTAAATTAATACACTTTATTATAGTAATTATATATTGCAAATAATTTGTATACATTCAAAGATATTAATAGGTAATACAAAAATATCATTATTTATAAAATATGAACTCAAGTTATGAGAAAAAATATCCGAAAACAATATATGATTTATCATTAAATGTTTCCAAAAATGTCGACCAAATAAAATTAAAGCCAAAAATTTCAAATTATTTGTTTTATAATATTTTTAAATATTAAAATTATCAATAAATAGATAAAAATTAATATAATTTAGTAAGAATTTCATAATACAGTATATGAATGGTTAATGAATTTTTAGTTCCAAATAAAATTATATTCATTTAACACAAATATTTTTATTTAAAAAGTTATTAAAAAAAGATACCTTTTGTACTATATTTTAGATTAAATACTTTTCATTAACAAAGTATTGAAAAACAACTAAACTTAGTGTCTCTGAGTTTAAGGGGAGAGAGAGAGAGAGAGAGAGAGAGAGAGAGAGAGAGAGAGCTGATTGACATACAGTGCTTATGACTTATGATAAGTTGTGTTAAACCGAACAGTCGTTTCTCTTTAACACAATTGTAACAAAACTTTTTAAATGTTTTCAATAGTGTTTGGGGTTTAGAGTTATATATTATATTTGTAATATTGAAGGCATTCATTCATACAATTCTTGTATTATAAGTTAAAACATTTAAAAGTGTTTGTATTGTATATAATACATCAGATGAGATGCTTAAAGCTCACAATCACACATAACTTAAGCATAAGTTGAGAAAATATTGTATATATATATAGAAATGGTTATAAATTCAAAATGAAAAGTATTTCCCATTTGAAGTCAATGTTGTTATTCAGGTGTTGTCTGTCAGTTAAGCTTTCTTTCTGTGTGTTATTTATGTGTGTCTTAGAAGAGGTTCAGTATATATAAAAATATATATACATTAAGAGATATAATACAACCAAAAGCTACAGATTCTGGTGTATAAACTGAAAAATAACTTTCATTGAACCTCTGTTTAGAAGCTTACTTATGCCTCAAATAATCAATCAATCATTTGTTTCGCATCATTTAAGGTGGGGAAGGGGTGCCAATGAGGCCGAGATTTATATACACAGTTAACTTGTTAGCCTAGAGCCCAGATATGACTGTTTTACTATACTTTCAACGGCTGACAATAGTTATAGCGAGTTGTAATCAAAACGAGTCTTAAAGAATCTAATGGTATATAAGTTATGGCAATAAATATAATGAAATGTTAGAGTGAACCGGATATATGGCTAGATTTGAGTGCATTCATTATGCATATATCGTATATACACTACAAATAAGTATAAATGTTTTTTTTTTGTGACTACTTTTGTTTGCAATTTGACGTAAATCATTGTTAATATCACTAAACAGTGACTAACTAATCATATTTGAGGTCACAAATGGGTGACCATTGGGTGCCATGAAATTCACACATAACATCGCAACATGTTTTGTCAATATTATTGGAAATAAGATTTATATAAATTAAGACATTTAAACCTTATAAATATTACACAATTTTATTGCATTTTTATGTTAAAATTGCAATAAAATAGTATTAATTAAATGAATCGGAAGCTATAAAATAGTATCAAATATAAAGAGAGTTTAATTTAGTTGTTTAAATGAGATCTCATGTTTTGTATGTAATTTTCTGTAGATTATCACTCATTTCTTTAACAATAAAGTAATGAATTTTTATTATATAATTGTCATATTTTTTATTTGCCACTAAAACTAATAACTAATAAGTTATTAGTTGTTTAATGCAAGTAATGAACAAAATAGCAGTGAATGTTTAGAAATATAATAATAAAATTATGCATAACTGAGAAATGTGTGCACGAATTGAAACAAAGGCTCATTTAGTTGGGGTCAGGTATGGGTCAGGCGGGACACGCCTGTGCCGGAAGATAGCGATGTATTGGAAATAATTAAAAATGTGAGCCGTGATTGGTTCGTCCCTGTCGTTGATTATGATTCGGTGGGTGGGCGGCCATACATACCCCCAAACATCATAACTAACTTTACAATAGTATTGCAATTAATGCTTTAACTCCATAGTACCTGTGCTTCAGAATCTTTTTATGAACCGGTGCTTATACTATGCTTTTTATTTGTTAAAAAGCCGTATTAACAACAAGTCTAATAGAGAAAAACAAAAAACTAACCATAAATCACATCAATTTCTGGTGACTTTCGGGTCGTTCACGTCTTTAATACAAAAACTAAATATACAATAATTTTTGTTAAACTCAAACTAATTTACGTAATATTTATTAGAAATGGTTTATATATATTTGTGTTGTTTATTAAGATAGTGACACCCCTTAGAACCCCTATCCCCTTCTAGTTATACCATTTAGTCAGTCAATGCTGGCATCCCATCCATGTCTAAAAAGTTTGCGTGATTTGAGTGAATTGAAAAACTGTCAAAAATGCAATACATTGGCATCAAAAACATTTATCATTGCATTCATATAAATGAATTTTTCATTTATTATACAATATTTTATTTTCATTAATATTGTTGGTATTAGAGTTTAGTTAAATAACACTATTATGTAAATCAGTTTAAAACAATAGTCGTAACGCCAATAGAGAAAAAAGTTATGCAAAAGTAATAGACAGGTGTATTAGTCTTATAATTTGTTTTATGTATATGTTTTTCGACCACTTCTTGTTTTTATTTACCCGATTCACGTGCTTTGCCGACAAATTGTATGCCTTTTTTAAAATCAATACATAAATTGAATACTGTTTTTTTACTAAATAATAATTATTATAATTATAATAAAATTTATTTTATTTTATTAAACAATTAATATTAACATTATTCACATAACCATTAAAAATGATTCACGAATTGAGAATAAATCTGATAAAAATGTATTTACTATTATATATTCTATAAGATAATTGGCATAAATATGTAATAAAAATGAATATCAAAATAAAATATCTTAAAATTAACTACTTAATTATCATTGCAATTTTTCTCGTTTAATTATTATAATTTGTAAATATTTTTTCAATAAAAATGTTGTGTAATAATCAACAAATTCATATATTAATATCCAATATATTGAAAATATAACTAAATTTTAAAATACTTTAAGTTTTTTTTATTTATTATTAAATTATTACTATATATACAATTAAATAAATTGAAACATAAAAATCAAAATAAATGCTTTTGTTTTAAAACGCAATTTTTAAAAAATATTGCACAATATAACATTGTTTTATTTAATTGAGTAAATTATTTAATTTATAATTAAATCAATTTAAAAATAACATTAACTAAATATAAATTTAAATTATGTTCAGTAAAGTGTTATTTGCAATATTATTATTATTATTACTAATGTATTGATATTTACACTAAAAACAGTTCTAAAAACAATTTTTACAGTTTATTATTTACAAAACAAAAATGCAATAATAAAAGTCTGTGAAAACATTTGTAAATTTAGTGTAAATCCTATGTTTAAATTTGTTAGTTGTCGTTGAGTTTCAAAAGTTAAATAAACACAAAAAATAAAATCAGAATCAAATAAAATATATTATTTTTATGTTTTGTTGCAATTAAAGATTAAACGTGTTTTTGCTGCTAATAAATACCATTCTATAAGAAAATATTAATAAAAAGCATATAAAAGTTATAGATATCTAAATATACTGACATTCAATCAATCAAATGATGAAAAATGATATATATTTTTTTATAGATGTGTCTAAACTATTGAATCATTGCATGATAAATGCCAATAATCATTTCAAGTAGATTTTCACGAAATTCTTAAAAATTGTTTGTTAGTACAGTAGTTGAATTAGTATTGGCAACGATTATGTTAGTCTCTACACAACAAAAAAAAAGGTTAACATAATATTTTTTGATCAAATATAATAAATGAAATGATAAGTCATTAATTTTATGGCACTTTTTTATAGGCAATGAATGCTTCAAAAATGGCACTTTTGTCAAAAAATGATAAATGTTTTGAGAAAATTTTTAATTAGACTCATCTCTTAAAATCAGGTAAATTAAGTTAAATATTTAATTTAATATGAAAAACGAAAACTTTAAAATATTAAGTCATTTTTAATATACATATATAGGTATTAGAAATATAATATCAATACAATAAT